AGTGTTGTGCCAAGGGCAGAAGTGACAGAAGCATGGGGTGTGCAGGGCTGGATCAACTGGGTATGCAGGGTGAGGGTAGTGGATGGTAACTGATCCTGAGCAATTACAGGCCAGTGCTTCGGTCCCTGTCCCGCCGGCAGCCGACCATGAGTGTGGAGAAGGGCCTGCAGATAGGCATTCGGGAATAGGACCGCACCAGCAACTATGACCGCATGACATTCTATGAGATGGCTAAAGAGTGAGTCAGGGACCCTGGGCCTGGGCCTGAGTTGCAAGAGCACATGGGCTGTGCAGCTGTGTCCAATGGTGCTTGTCACCCACACAGTGTCGCAGGGCTTCACAGACCCCACCCCTGTACACCTTGGTCCTCAGGAGGCAGCTCCTTCTACCTGGAGGGATGACAAAGAAGACTTTGCCCAGAAGCTCGGGTCTCACTGTTCATGGGGCTTCTTCCGGCAGTGGGGGCTGTGTAAAGTGCCATTTAGTCACATGTTAGTCCCAAATTGCCAAAGAAGGGACCATCTCTGTCCATGAAAGGGACAAGAGGTTATAACCCAAGGTCCCAGAAGAGAATGGGAGAGGGGACAGCATGATCAGGGGAAGACAGCCTCTCAGGCACCCCGAGGACATGTCCTTGCCATTACTGCTTTTGCTCCATCTCATTTGTTCTATTCAAACAAACACATGAACAAACAGAGAAACAGAGAAACAGAGAAACAGGCCACAGAGGAAAGAGACCTAATCTTCCCTCCTTGGCTCCCTCTTTCTCCTGACTTCTCCAGGGCCCTTGTTTCCAGGGCATCATTCCAGGACTCACAGTCCCAGCTCAGGATCCCTGGATGGGACGAGGACTCCCGGTATTTTCTGCCTTAACTCACTTCCTGACCAGCTTCTGATGGGCAGTTCCTGTTTGTGGCTCTGTGCAAGGCCATGGCAGGCCTGAAAAGGCTGAAAAAGGCTCTGTGGGTCACCTAGGCCTAACGAGATTCCCCACAGATGATGAAGGGTGTGCCCAGAACTGTGATTGTGCCCTGGGATCTGCACCCTCTGACAATGAGACCAGTCTCCCCAGGGCACTGCTCCCCATGCCTGACACTGGTCCAGCCCAGGGCCCTTATGGCCTGTGGCCTGGCTTCCCTACCAGCTCAGCCTGTGCCTCCCCACATCTCAGGTTCATGGAGTTTGAGGCTGCTGAAAAGATGGAACATCCCGGGTTGCAGTTGACTGGAGGACTTCCGGGCCAGTCAATTCCAGCCCCACTGAGGCCCGAAACTCCAAGGCCCTCAATGCCTAAGGTTGTCCAACAACCAGGTAGGGCTTCCCATGTTCCACAGGCAGTCATGGCAGAGGCCGA